AGTGAGAAAGACAAAAGATGGCTCTCAGGTTTCTCATTGTAGCTGCAGGAGGGTACTGCCCTTAATTTAGAAAAGCAATTTAAAAGGAGGCAGCAAAGAGAACATAAACAGGAATGAGAGTGAAGATCAAGTAGGGGACGCCTAGGGCGGTGAGCAGAGAGCCCCAGGCCACCGCTGCCTGTCTGTACTCAGGACACCCCTTACGAGAGACTTTAAAACAGGAAATGACCAGAGAGAAAAACTCTTAGCTTTGTCCCTTGGCAGCTGATTATTTACTGAAATAAAAGATAGACAAGAGCTTTAGGTCGGCAAAAAGTATACACGTATATTTTGTACTTAAAGAAACAGATCCAGAGTGTGTCTAACTATGTGAATACCACTCAGCAGAAACCAGGTGAGATTACACAATGGAATAGAATGTTCTGGATGACAGCAAGCTCCTAGATTATCCTCAGGTGTTGTTCTTCTCAAAAAGTTTAGCTGGAGGCTGGCCCAGTGGCGCAGGGGTTAAGTTTGCACGTTCCGCTTCTCGCCGGCCCAGGGTTTGCTGGTTTGGATCCCAAGTGTGGGCTTGGCACGGCTTGTCAAGCCATGCTGTGGCAGGTGTCCCACATAGAAAGTAGAGGAAGATGAGCACGGATGTTAGCTCAGGGCCAGTCTTCCTCAGCAAAAAGAGGAGGATTGGCAGCAGGATGTCAGCTCAGGGCTAATGTTCCTCAAAAAAAAAAAAACAGTTTAGCTGTATTGATAAATGATTTTATGTGTGTTTATTAGTAATATGAATTAAGCCTTATGTTGGACTATTTTACTAAAGCGTTCTCTGTTTAAAAATAAAAGGAAATTGAGAGGAACATTTGGTGTGATTTGTGGTCTGTTACAAGGGATTTCTCATGCTACAATAAGTACCCCCTTGTCACGCTGTGCTTTATGTCACCATATGGCGTGCAGAACATTCATATTTTATTTTTTTATTAAGGTATAATTGACATGCAACATTATATTAGTTTCAGATGTATAACATAATGATTCGTATCTGTTTATATTGTGAAGTGATCACCACTATAAGTTTAGTTAACATTCATCACATACCTAGCTACAAAAATATTTTTTCTTGTGATGAGAACTTTTAAGATTACTCTCTCAGCAGCTTTCAAATATGCAGTAGAGTATTATTCACTGTAGTCACCACGCTGTGCATTGCCTCCCCAGGACTTACTGGTTTTACAACTGGAAGTTTGTACCTTTGACCTCCTTCACCCATTTCATCACCACCCACCACTGCCCCCTCCCACCTCTGGCAACCACCAGTCTGTTCTCTGTACCTATGAGCTTGGGGTTTTTTTTTGGATTTGTGTAAGTGAGATCATACAGTATTTGTCTTTCTCTGTCTGAATTATTCACCTAGCATAATGCCCTCAAGGTCCATCCATGTTGTTGCAAATGGCAAGATTTCGTCCTTTTTATGACTGAATAATATTCCATCCTCTCTCTCTCTCTCTCTCTCTATATGCATACAGCACATCTTCTCAATCCAGCCGTCCACCAGCGGACACTCAGGCTGTTTCCATGTCTTGGCTGTTGTGAGTAATGCTACAGTGAACATGACGGTGCAGGTATCTTTTCCAGTTAATGGTTTTGTTTTCTTCGGATAAAAACCCACAAGTGAGATTCTTGGATTGTATAGTAGTTCAATTTTTAATTTTTTGAGAAACCTCCATACGGTTTTCCATAGCGTCTGCACCAATGTGCATTCCCACCAACAGTGCACGAGGGTTCCCTTTTTTCCACATCCTCGTCAACACTTGTTAGCTCATCTTTTTGACAACAGCCCTTCCGAGGGGTGTGAGATGACACATCATTGTGGTTTGGATTTGCATTTCCCTGATGATTACCGATGTCGAGCACCTTTTTATGTACCTGTTGGCCATTTGTATGTTTTCTTTAGAGAATGTCTATTCAGATCCTCTGTCCATTTTTCAATTGGGTTGTTTGTTTTTTTGTTTTTGTTTCTGTTTGTATATATTTTTTTGAAACAAAAAATTTGTTCTTTGGAAAATCATGAAACTATACCAAAAACAGTAGAGAACAAACCACCCCACACTTCATCAAAACAACCAAAACGCTTAACCTTCTGGCAGAGTCCTCTCATTCTTCTCTACATCGTAATTATTAACTGTTAGCCGTAGTTTGTTTTTACGGGCATTTTATTATGCATAGATTTGCGTTTATGTAACCACAGTGCACATGGTGCGCATTGTTCACTTAATGCCGCTTGCCGAGGCCGCTCTGTTACCTCTGCCTCCTTCAGCTCCATCTTGTTCGGGTATGTCCCGGCCCATCCTGTAGCTGGACCATCATGTGCTTAACTATCACCTGCTGGGTATTTCCGTTGCTTCTGGTTTTCACGACTACAGATAAAGCCTAATTCATGACTTAAGATAAACACACCATTTTCGCTGTGGACTCCGATCCCTTCATGGTTCGTGCAGTCTCCCTCCAGGCTGGGGCTAGTGTGCACCACCCTTCACAAAGTGTCCCACAGTCGCAGAGTGCCAGCACACGGACAGTCCTTCTTGAGCAGGAAAGCTTCCAGAGAACAATCAGTATTTTTCTCACGGTGTGTGACCCTCACCACGCACTACATGCAGTAGATGCGATGAGCAGAGGTGAATCTGCTTGGAGAAGAAGGATTCATGCTTGACAGGCAGATGAGTTGCTCGACTGCCCCAGAGCACTTCCTAAGGGTGCAGGATGGGGCTGGGGTGAGGCACAGGTGCTGGGACCCCAGGTCAAAGATGTCAGCCTGAGCAAACTGAATCACCCCAACCAGGACTAGCTGCCTGACCAGCTGCCTGCACAGCCACCCATGGAGCCGCACCCTGGGGAGGGGCTGAGGGGACCCCAGGGCGATTCAGCTGGATCAAGGGAGGGCAGGTGAATGTTTTCTAGACAGACCACAGGATTAGGGGAGGTCACCCCAAGGCAAACAGGGCAGCCGGGCAGACAGGCACTGACATGGAAGTTCTGGGCATTGACGGAGAGTGCTGGTAAGGCTGTAGCTCCTGATTACGAGGACCAAGTGCCCCGCACCGGGGAAATTAGTCCTAAAGAGCCAGCAGAAGCCTCTACCCCCAGGGAGAGGGAGAAGTGGGAGCCTGCTGGATCACGGTGGGCACAGTGGGGCTGGATAGGCATCGGCAGAGGGCAGAGAGGTGAGGATAGGTTAACAATGTATCTGAGGGAGACCCTCTGGAGCAGAGCGATGTTTTACACAAGCCCCTTGAAAAGAATCTGTGCATGTCTTCCCGGAAACTGTGTAGAGCTGTATTCGTGTTTCCTTTAAAATATGTTCAATGCATGAAAAGAAATATACTTTAGAAGGCGTCTCTCACCAAACCTCTGGGCTTATTAACCCCTGGGCTTATTAACCCCTGGATGTTGAAATGGAAACGGCTCCCTGTCAGGACACCAAGTCCGGGCATCATGCTTTGCCCTGCCTGTTCCATGCTGCACCGTGACAGGAACAAGAATGAGGCCGTGGGAGCTGGCACTCCCAGTTCTCACTTACAGACAGCCTGGAAGGTCACATCTCCCTGCTCTGTAGCACAAGAAAAATGACATGTTCAAAGCTCTTTCCTAAATCCTGATTCTGGGCCATGAAAACTGAAAATATGGGTAAGGACACAGGATCCGAACTAGGGGAAATATATCGCATGATGCTGCATTTCTTTTCCCAGCTATAGATTTGGTTGCACGTTTATTATGGTAGCTCACATTAGCTAAATACGGTATTTGGAGAGACATGGAATAATGCTGTGTACGATCACCACCATCAAAGACAGATTTATGATTACCTTCAGAGGGGGTGTCATGCCCTCTGTCCATGTAACTCCTATAAATCTCTCCACTGTGCCCCAAGCATCTCTCCTGTATCTTCCCCCTACAAGCTGATGAGTGATGAGCTGCCGTTTGGAAGGCTCTGGGAACACCGGACGGTCTAAGTGGGGATCACCATCACTAAGCCCACATCTCTCCTGGATCTGAATCACAGGGCTAGTTCACATCACCGTTTTCCATCAAAAGCTGCCACCACAGCTGTGCACCCAGGCGTTGGGGATGAGGCATTCTCACGGCTCCTCTCAAGTTTCAGCTCCTCCTGGATTTACATTCCCGACGCTGAGCCTCACAATTGTTCCCCATGATTTTGTTAATGCTGACATTTCCAGCACACCACAGAACAGAAAGGTCATCAGCTGGCTAATTTTAAAATAGCTTTTTGATCACTCATCTTTCTGGAGTGTCAAACCCTGCGGGGCTGGTGGAATTGACATGTACTTATTACCACATTTGGATTCCTGAAACCGAGCTGAGTAATTTGAAGACCCGTCTGGAGCGAGCACCCGGAAGGCCATCAATCAGAGAGCAGAGCATTTAGAAAACCCCTACCAAAACCAGTGGCTGAAGACAGCAATCATATTGCTGCTTCAGAAATGTTGACGCGTCTTCCTGTAAAACAGTATTTGGGGGTCAGGATGATGGTAGGAGCAATAATAATAATTTATTGGACACTCATTACGTATTAGGTTTTATCATGAATTATTCAGTTCAATGTCTAACCACTCCAGTAGTGGGCACTCCTACAATCTACATTTTTTATAGGTGAGAACACGGACGGGTGGGGGGTGCCGTAGCTGCCCTGGTCTCCACTCAGGAGGAAAAGAAAAAGAGTTTGGATCTTGTGTGTAAGGCCTGGGCCTTGCTTGCTCAGCACAAGGCCCCAGACCCATTGTAACCACCTGTCCTTCCGGCTCCCTTCTGGGCAGGCCGCCTGGCTGCTGGAATTTGTAACAATCTCGGGCCTGGCCATCCTGGACCCTCCCATATCTCATGTAAAGAACATCATGTCTTACAGGGACACAGAGCCCCTCTGTATGAACTACTGTTCTGGGAACACTGGTTGTACCAAGGACAGCCCCTTGACAAGCATGCAGCCTTTGTTCCTCTGCCTACTTAAGCCAGCTTCTCTAAGGGAGGTAGCGGGTACACCTCGCTGTCCAGCCAGCCGCCACTGGACCTTCCCTGTAAGTAACTCCCAGTAAACCCGTATGGTCTCTTTCCCTGTCTCCGGGTCTTTTCTTTGGTCTCCTGGCAGCCTGTCCCACACTGCTCACCCAGGTGGGTATGTGGCAGAACGTTGTGTGATTAAAGGGCTCCGTAAGCGGTGGCCCCAATTATTTCTCTACTGTCTCTACTATCCCTTTTAAAATCAAAGCAACAAAAAACCCAGGCAGCTCTTCATGTTGCACAAAATGCTTTTCTTTGGAAAGAAGGGGATGAAAGAGTGAAAATTAACCTATCATGTCGCTGCCCTGAGTCCATTCTCTCGCTCTATTCTTAGCTAATCCCGTGGGTGGGCACAGGGACTTAGCCCCTTCTGAAGACGAGGACAGTAAGGTGGAGGGATGGATGTTAATGACGTGCCCAAATCATGCAGCTGGTGAGCCGCCGAAGTTGAACTTGACCCCAGGACTCCTGATCTCCAGGCTGCACTGCTTTTAGGATTTGACAGGACGCTGTGTGCTGGGCACGGAGGGCAGAACGTGTGTGCTAGACGAACGTTCCTGAGCCTTAGAAATGTGCTTGCACAGAGTCCATGCATGATCAAGAAAGCCTCCCCTTGAAATGCTTGATAAACACCAGCGTCTGCTTTGACAAGTTTTGTGTGCCTTCCACCATTACTCTTTGCCTCAGTTTTGGGGTCAAGGGCCAGAATCAGAGCAGGAGAATTACTAACACTTATCCTAATGGTTTTGGAGCAGTTTCTGTCAGACATCTGCACTGCGGCGTTCAGTTGCTACAGCACCGCTGCAATGCCTGCCCTCTCGTGGATGAGGAAACGGGGCTAAGAAAGGCCCGCCCGCTGCACGGGCACTGCCCACGCTTCTGTGGGCCAGCCTTCCCGTCAGCCCTGTGGGACGCATGTGGCTTCCACTTTGCCTGCCCCAGATGTTGGGGCAGATGCATCAGCAGAGCCCACCTGATAGCCTTTCCCCAGCGGGGTGTCCCCTCCATGACAGCCCCAGGCACTGGTCTGGTCTTGTTCTCCCTGGAGTAGCCACCAAGGAGCCCAGCTCCAGAGACAGCGTCTGCAGCCTGAATCCCTGGGTCTCAGTGCTTCTCTGTCCAGGAGGTTTCTCCCAGCCTGGGTCCCTCCTTACCTGTCACATTTCCAGGACGTCACAGCCTGGAGCAAACACTATCCCCAGGAGGACTCTCAGCATCCGTCTGGGGAGCTTCACATTTACAGTTGCCCCCCTCCCGGGGCCCCTTGTTCTGTGTTTCGAACTCTCTGTTCTCACCTGCCCCGCCCCAACCCCTGCCAATGGTCCCAGCTCCCCAGGCTTCTCATCCTCGGGTCACTCACTTGGGCTCAGTTACAAAGGTCACCTCCTCATGTTATCTATTTCATTGTGAAGATTGCTAGCAATGACCCCCCTCCCGGGCCCCTCTAGTCTCCTTGTTCCTGTGGAAACGGGAACGCTCTCCCATCCTACTTGCTAGAAAGCTGATCTTTCCTTCGCATCGTTATGGTGTTGACAATCGCTTCCTGTCTCCCAGTGGGAATCTGTTTATTCCTCCATGTAAACCGTTTCGTCTTGCTATCTAATCTCCATTCATAGCGAAAAAAAGACATAAACACATTTCATTTTACCCAAACCTTTAAAAAACGGCTATCACTTTCGTTTCTTCTGAATTTTATTACCTCTGCAAATTATATAATTACTCTCGCTTATTCTTCTTAACAGATGAGAAAGTGCAAGTCTCTGTAATTACAGCTTGGATCCAAACTGCCATGATTGCAGATCCTGCATCACAGGAGTTTCCTAAGCTCAGAACTCACACTCTCACTCAGGAAGGAGGTGTACTGGTCAGGAGGACCCTGGTCATGCTGCATAATAGGCAGCCCACTGCGTAAGTGGTTTGAAACAGCGGAGTTTGTTTCACTCGTGTGACGCGTTCAGTGAGGGTCAGCAGGGGCTGTGCCATGTCCTCATTGTCCTCACTCTAGGGCCCAGGCTGACGGAGCCCCTGAATCTCGCCAGTGGCTGTGCAGAGGGAAAAGAGATTATGGCAAGAAACCTGCAGACTCTTCAAGCTCTCACCCCAGGGACACACATCACTCCTGCTCACAGTTCATTGGCCAGAGCTGGTCAGCGACCTCAGGCCAATCAGTGAGAAGGCAGCCTCCTCTCACAGGGGAGGCTCAGAATGTCTGTGAACTTACCCAGTGTGCCACAGATGACAAACCCGACTCAGCTGTGGGAAAAACGGGGGTGCAGAGAAATTTGCTGACTTCTCTGGGAACAGCCAGCAGCACAGCCAGGACTGGAACACAGGCGTCTCCCCAGGGGCAGTGCAGGCCCACCGTGTCACTCTCTTCACCCCGTCCGTGCAGGTGGCTGGTAATGTGGCTTTCCCGGCCACTCACCTGGTCTGTTCACATGCTGCTTTCTAAGGACGCCACGCCCACACACACCCTCAAGCTCAGGGTTCCCTCGTCTGGCCATCAGTTTCTGTAAGACCTCCAGACGGGTCAGCAGGTGGGGCCTTTATTTCAATGATCTAATCACTCTTACTCTTGAAAACTCATGGAGCCCAAGAGGAGCCCTGCAAGGAAGGGCCAGCAGCCCATGGGAGCAGGACCCAGGGCTGGAGGCGAGGCAGTAGGCAGCCTTGGGGATAGGGTTATCTGTTTCGGAGAAGAGGAAGGCGAAAAAAGGCAGGGACCGATGGCCTGCCTTGGTCTGATCACTGTCAATCTTCATAATTCCGGGGACCAGAGTGTTATTCTTGGAGGCAGAGCCGACTGACCTTCTTGGGGCCAATATCACCAGGCACCAGGATGGCTAAAAGGCTGAATTCTGTGGGACCTTCACCCACACACATGCACAGGTATGACTGTGACCCCTCTCTCAAGTCTAGCCTGCTCAGTTATATATGTCGAGGTCAATGTCGACCCTCATGACCCAGCTGCTTGCATATTGGGGTAAAGGGTATTGGTGCCATGCACACTGCTACCTCCCGTTACTGACGGCTGGATAGAATCTGCTGAGGGGCCCGTTGTTACAGCCTGCAGGACTAGAAGCAGGATTTGTGTGTAGAAACTGTTTGTTTCAGTTTCTTTTTTCTCAGGTCCGCAAAGCCTGAGGTTTTTGGCTCTGAAAATAACGACAACTAGAAATGTGATTGGAAAATTCAAATTCTGTTCTGGTCGAGGATTTAGTTTATAATTAGTTCTGGGTACCCGTGGCTAGGTCCGAAGAATGAAACCCTGCATTGCATTTAGAGATGTATTGCCGCAGAGCATAAACCACCTCACCAGTCATCCTAGAGTGGCAGACGCTGTCCCATCAGCAGACCCAGAGCACTGACACATCCACCTTGAGTCTGGAAGAACATGCAGCTCCTGTCTCCATTGCTGGGACATTCTGGCTGCTTTGCTCACGAGGTACACCCCACATGTAGCATGAAGGGGAATCATACTTAGTGAGCCACCAATACCCCATAAACTGGTGAAGCCTGGTTAACTGGTGAACTCTGCCAAGGGCAACGGCAGGCTGAGCAGGTGCTGCAGGTGGCACTGCCAGGACATCCCCGCTACTAAAGGAGCAGGTGACAAGCATTCTTGGAGATGACCAGTGCACATCAAACAATTCTCTCTTCTGGCTTTGTGAAACAAACCCCGTCCTGCCAGGCTGTGGGATGTATTCAAAACCCAGTCGTTCGCACTGGGAGGAAGAAGTGCTGGTCTTTGTTCTGCTCCTCTGATGGGACTCTCTCCACAGTTGCGACAGCAGTGGGTTGAGCAGCATCAATCTGTGTGTTACAAAAGAAGCTAAGGCCTCCCAGAGGCAGCTGGTCATTCATCCCCGACACACGCTCCTCGGTGAGTATCTCAGCGCCCCCTGTCAACTGCGTCTGTGAGGGAGGAAATGTCAGTTCTTGTGACATTAATACCAGGGTCTCCCAAACAGCGCCCCCATTGTTTGCATCCACAGTGTTTGGGGAAAATAAATATCACGTACAGTCCTCAAAACTCAGAGAGTCACCAGTCCAGCCAGATAAATGTAAAGGATGAAAGTGAATAAAAGTCAGATGACCCTGCAAACATCACAGAAACAACTATACATGAATGTGGTGGGCCATGGCCATGTTCTGAGGGGAAAAAAGAGACGGAGACAGTGCAAGGGAAGCAAGTCAATCCTGGAAGACTTCGTGGAGGAGGTATTTTAGACAGTTTGATGGGACAATGTGGTTTCAGTTGTTGGAGACGGGAGAGAGCAGAGCAAGCATTGAAGAGGCATGAACCAAACTGAGGTCAGGATTTGGGGAGTTGGCTTGCCTGAGCCTGGAAACAGGGTCAAGTCCCATGAAAGAGGGGCAGCCCAGGAGGAGGGAAGGGGGAAGGTGTAGGAGGAGGCAGAATGGTCTACATAGGGTGCAAAGGTCTGGGTGGCTCCTTGGCCCACTTCTCCCTAGCCATGTTCCTCCTCCAGGCTCTCCTGCAGATGACTCCATTTTCCTGTGCATGTCCAGGTTGCAGGGTTTGACATGGAGAACAGTATCGCTGAGAGCCCAAATCACCAGCCTGAGCCACGGGGGAGTCAGCTGACAACATCTCTGTTCACCCCGTCACGGTGCAGCATCTGTCAGCCTGTGTCACCACAGCTCAAGACAACGCTGGGTCTCCTAGGTTCTCGGAACCCTTCCCCGAAAACAGTGCGAAGGCTCCAGGTGACTGAACGCAGGTACAGCTGACCCACCAACACTCAACCACCCCGTGACTCCACCGGTAACCAGCCACCGCCCACACACCTGCTCTGAGCCCAGCACCAGGGGCTGTGCACACAGCGCTGCTAATAGTCAAGAGAACCCCACAACAGGAGATGTATGTTTGCGCTGAATGTTTGTATCCCCCAAAATTCCTATGTTGAATCCTAACGCCCAAGAGGATGGTGTTAAGAGGTGGGGCCTCTGGGGTCACTGCGTCATGAGAGTGGAGCCTTCATGAATGGGATTAGTGTCCTTGTAAACGAGACCCCAGAGAGCTCTCACCCCATCTCCACCATGTGAGGACACAGTGAGGAGACTGTCGTCGGCACCCTGAGAGAGTGATCTCCCCAGAACCCCACCATGCCAGCACCCCGATCTCAGACTTCCAGTCTCCAGAACTGTGCTGAATGTATTTCCATTGTTTATAAGCCGCCCAGTCATGGTATTTTTGTCATAGCAGCCTGAACAAAGACAGTAGTAGAGAAACTGGGGCTCAGAAAGTTGAAATAACAGGCCCAAAATCACACGGCAGGGCTCCTGTGTTGGGATTTGAAAGCGAGTCTATTCAAGGCCCAGATTCTGCAATGTCCTCATCCTCCCTCCCTCTCTTCCTGTCTCTCTCCATTGGGTGATCAGGGAGATTACAAGAAGAAAAATTTAAGAGGTTGAAGGTCCTGGGAGAATCGAGGCCCTGGTACAGGCTGCAGGGTGCCAAGTTGACTCCCTCGTCCTGGATTCCCAACTCCTTCAATCGGGGGCTCTGAGCGGCAGGTACCAACATCTACCTGAGGTTCAGAGCCTGGACCCCAACACCATCCACTCTTATCCAGGCGCCGCTCCAGCTCCCTGTGGATTTGACCCTGTCCCTCTGCAGCTGCGTCATCAGGGGCCACACTGGTAAAGCCTCACTCCCATTGCCCTGTTGTCTCCCCAGAGTCATGAGAGATGCCCCAGTGCTGCCGTCCTGTTACCAGACCAAACATAGGCCCTTCTGGGGGAGTTAAATCAAATTGCACCAGAAGAAGTTGTCTCACAAAGCAGAAATTTTATTTGCAGCATGCAGCAAAGAAAATGGAGACCATCGGGAATAATTTCACAAAGCTATGCACCCCGAGCACAGGGAGGGGCTTATCTCTATTTGGGTGGGTAATGAACATTCAAAGGGGAAGTGTCATCATCGCATGGAGAGGTGAGCACAAGCATGGATTGACATCACACTTCTACATACGCCGCATGACCTAAAAATGGCTGCTCTGCCCCCCACAGAAGAGGGGATCCATGACACAAATGAGGGCAGGTTACTTTAGCCCAGCTCGCTGCCCACCTGTGCAGACGTCAGCCTCATGTCGAGGTCTGGACTGCTCTGGTCCCATTCAGATTGGCAGGGTCCAGGGCGGTTGTGGCTTAGAGCTTCTTCCTGGAACAGCTGAAAACTGCGTAAGTTCAAGGCCCCAAGGAGTTAGATAAAGGAACACTTTCCCCTTGCAAGAAGACGAGAGAATTAGGTCAAACACAGAGGTTAGAGTTTGGGCAGGACGAGAGAAGTGGATAGGGTCCATGTCTGGTGACAATCCTTCCCTCAGAACCACTTCCTTCTCCTCCAGGGCCTTCGTCACCCTGTCTAGCAGGTGATAGACCATGATGGGAGGACAATTTCCTTATAGGAAACATCTGGTGGGGGAGGGGAGTGGTCTCTGCCTGTAGATTTCTTCCCCCCTTTTTGCCTGCAGGAAAAATAACTGAGTTATCTTCTGCAAACCCCGAGCTTCCTGCCACACTTCATTCTGGTCCCTGAGGATGTAGCTGGAAGTGTCAGCTACAGTCCCTGGCCTGTGGCTATATTTGTGGGTGGAATCTGTGCTCTTCCCTTCTACTGCCCCTTATTACATTATGCACATTTCTTGGAGATTTTCTTTACACTTGAGTCTTTAGGTTACCAGAAGCTGAGGAATGTTTAACATCAGCCCAGAGATGGACAGTGTACCCTTCTCCCAGAGATGAGCACAAAGACCTACGGGGCTTGGGTCTCCTCAATGTGGGCAAGATGAGAATGCCTGTGTTTGTATGGGCAGTTAGAATTTGTTAGGGGGAAACATAGACTGGGTTTGCACAGTATGGAAGCGCCTGTGTAAGAGCTGTGTATGGCTGCACGGCAGCCATAGGGCTGCGCTGTGCTGGCAATCACGCTGTTCTCCCCCAGCTGCAAACCCACTCTCCTATCCTCTGGTGATGCTGCAGCCCAGACTTTACAAACCACATTTCTGATTCTCCAGCTGGCTCTGTGTTAGGCTGTGCCAAGAAGAGATGCCAGTGGGAGGCTGCTGGGCTGGCGGACGAGGACAGAGACAGCTCTGTCCTATAGGCTGCTGATTTTATAGGCTAGTGTAGCTCCTGAGAACACCACACTAGGAATATGTTTTCACCTTGCAGGCCGGGGAAGTGCCTTCCTGTAAATGAATCCAGTTTGCAGCTCTTCCCAGACCAGCAGGATCAGCCCATCTCACACAGCACTCTCTCCTCACATCTCTGGGTAGCAGCCCCTGGACCCTCCTCCAGCTCAGAGACTCTAGCACCAGCCGGCCAGCACCCACTCCCCTCCGCCCCCAAGCTCTGCAGGCACCCACCTTCTCGTTCTAAGTTTCAGTGATCCCCGCCTCTTCTCTTCTCCTGCTGTGGCAGTTGCTTCTGCAGTCACTCCCTCTGTGATACCTCAGCGGCTTCCATTTATCAGTCACCCAGTTAACGGCTCTATATTAAACTATCTCTGCTTAGCAGCTGGTGCTTCCTAACCACCTGGCGTACAGCCTTTATAAAATTACACCTGCTAAGAGGGGCGGAGTCTGTGGGTCGGAGCGCTATCTGACCCACAGGCTCTGGGAGTGCTGGCACCTCGGAGAAGTGACACAGACTTTCTGTTCCTCCGTGTTCTAGTCCAGGAGGTTAATATCCACTTCACAGGGCTGTTCTGAGGATTAAGGCAGTTAAAAACACCGAGTACCAAGAACGTCTTCCAGAACATGGAGGGCGTGACACAAACATTAGCTGCCATGACTATTATTATTACTACTATTGTTATGAAAATGCAGAAGAGTACTCTTCAAAAGGTAATAAATATCCCCAAATCTTACCTCCTAATAATAACCATTATTAATATTATATTAACATTGATGCAGATTTTTCTACCTGTACAGCTAGAATAGAAACAATGAGTACAGGGGAATAACGTTTTACTCTAATGGAATCATAATACACATTACCATTTAATAAGTGTATTAAGTTTCATTTTACTAGAATTAAACAAAAAAAAAGTAAAACTGAGGAAATTCTTGATTTTTAAATAAGTATCTCTTTTCTTTATATTTTATTGCACACAAGATCCCTCTGAGATTTAAAAAATAAAAACTTTGTGAAAAATATTGAGAGTTCCACCCTCTGTTTAGATAAGTTTCCATTTTACTCAGTGATGATTGACTCATTTTTCTGGAAGAAGAGATTTCAAACGCATGGGATTGTCCCACTCGTTTCTCACCTCCTTCCATTTTCGTTGGAGCTGGTATTACAATTTGATCGTTATTGCCAAGGTTTATAAAGCATTCTGTTCTAGGACAGTAATTCTCTGGGTGTTTGCTATCAGGGCCATATACAAATGCACCTGTGCTCACCGCAAGCCCTCACGCCACAGCTTTGCCATCCTCAGAGCTCTGTTTTTGTTCAACTCTTGTTTTTCAAAATTCAATTGTCAGGCAGACGTTTCAGAGGATGTATAGCGGCAATATTCCTAGAGCCCTCTCCTGCTTAAGACGTGGGCTGCTGGTGATCTAACGCTAGACACCCACACTCTTCCTTACTGTTTATGTGTTCAGGAATACTTCCTTCATTTATTATTATTTTCTTTAACTGACAGCTAAAATATTCTATAATGAGTTAAAAATGGATAAGCTTGCTGGAGGTGCAATATGACCTCCAGCCTCAATTCACTCCAACGGAAGCCTTGCTGGGTCGGCCATAGTGCCGGATGGTGCCCAAGGCCCTAGAGTAAAGCTCTTTGTTCCTTCCTGCACATCCAGGCTCCTGCCTGGGAAAATTTCCCTAAATCCCAAGAAGTCCCTTTACTTGTAGTGGACCTCGTGATGCACTTCTCATGGAAATAAGTTATCCTGGCTCCCGTTTTTCTGAAAACACTTCTACTTTACCTTTTAAAAAAAATCAGCTTTGAGGAATAATTTGCATGTGATAAAATGCACCTGTATTAAGTGAACAGTTGAACAAGTTTTCACAGAGGTACACATCCCTGTAACTACCCCCACAATCAAGACATGTAGCATTTCCACCACCCCAAAAAGTCTCTCATGCCCCTTTGCTTTCCGTTTCCAGGGCCACCATACACTCAGCCCCAGGCAATCCCTCGTCTGCCTTCCATCAGTTGGTTCTATCTGTTCTAGAATTTCACCTCAATGGGGTCACACAGCATGCACTCTTTTGTGTCCAGCTGCTGGCACTCAGCACACTGTGGTTGGGGTCGATCGTGGTCGAATCGTGATGCAGTAATCTGTCATGCAAACATGACAGAGTGTGTTCATTGTTCACCTCCCCATGCATGTCTGTGTTGCTTCCAGCTTCCGCATCTGCACTTTTGAACAATACTGTAAGCGGGCATAAGAGTCTGGGTCGGAAACATTTTCCTTTCGGTACCTTATAGATGTCGTCCTAGCATTTCCAAGGAGGCTGAGGTAATAATGGACTCCTCGACCTGAGTGGCTCCACACAGCCTCAAAAATGAATAGTGTGCAGAAAAATAAGAAGAAATAAAACCTCTTCCACAAAACAAAAAGGCAAACAACACCACAGACTTCAAGGCACCTAGTGGAAGAAAATAAACCACCCGATCATAGTGGAGACGTCTCTTGAGCTTCCACTGCGAGTCTTTGTGGAAATCTAGTGAGATTAGCGGGAAAATGCACTGAAAAGGAAAGACGAAAACAAAGGACTAAAATATACCTAAAAACTTCACTGAAAATAGAAAATCAATCCTAAATGTAAACAGTCTAAAAATCATCCTAAATGCAAACAGTCTAAAAAGAACACACTGACTCCAGAGAAGTTTCTTAAACTAAGTGGGACTCAGAAAGCTGTAGCTTCTGGGGGAGAAGAGGGTAAAATTGAGGGAAAGGCTCCCATTGGAAATTGGGTAGTGGAAGGAAACAGGAGAAAGAGAGAGGGGAAATTTAGAGTCCTGCAGGATAAAATAGATCCCAAACATCAAAGGCCACACAGACCTTCCATCCATCACCCACTAAAACTTTGTTATAGGAGCTACATTTTGCTGCAATGGCCAAGTTGCTCTTAAAATATAAAACTTATCTTCCAAACCATCACAGTGTGAATAGACGTAAGCAGTCTTCATCTGTATAAAGCGAATGCAAGAATAAACAGAAAATTTTAACCAAAGTATTTAAGCTGACAAACCATCCGCCAAAAAAACAAATGCAGAGTAAAACTGATGCACCACTCCAGAGTAAATTAAATACCCTCATACAAGCATTTGAGGATACCAGAAATTCAGAAATTAAAATTTAAAAAATAAACCAAAAAGGGCAGAAGTCAAATAAGAATTATCGAACTCAGAAAAAAAATAGAAGATACTGTCATATGACAAATGAAGGCAAACCCATAAACTGCCCAAGAGAGAGTAGATTTCTTTCTTCCTTCCTTCCTTCCTCCCTTCCTTCCTTCCTTTCTTTCTTTCTTTCAAGATTCACACTGAACTAACATCCATGCCAATCCTCTGTTATTTGTTTTTTCAGTGTGTGGGCCACTAGCACAGCATGGCCACTAACAGAGTGGTGTAGGTCTGTGCCAAGGAACCAAACCCGGGCTATCAAAGAGGGCACACAGAACTTAATGACTAGGCCACCAAGGATGACCTGAGAGAACATGTTTAAACAGGATTTTATTAAAAGTAGAAAAAGTCATAATAACTAGGAGAATAAAAATATAAGAAAAAAGAAATAGAAACAGTCAGAAAAAGTGGTTGAAATGGAGGACAGGCAAGAAAACAAAAATATGTATAATTGGAGTTCCTCAACAAAGAAAAACAAAACAATACATCACAGCTAACATTTAAACCCATAGTTCAAGGACACTTTCCAGAAATAAAAGGAGACATAAGTCTACATTTTTCAAGTGCCTACAAGGACCAGAGAAAATTGACCCAGACTGATCAGCTCTAAGATCTTAGCCTGGCAAAAATATTAGGTTTTAAAAGCTAAAAGCAAACCAACAAATGAAAAAACCCTCAAGGAAAAATATAAAAATTACCTAAGGGCAAGAAAATTAGTCTGTTGCCAGACGTCTCAAGGCAGCAATGGGGCAAAATTTTCAATACATTTGTGGAAAGAATGTGTGAAGTAAGGATTTTCTATCCAGCCAGAAGCAGGCTAATGGCCTGGCTCTGGGACAGTGACTTGGACCATGTAAGAACGCAAGGGCCACTGTCCTCGTGAGCCGTCTTCAGGAATCTACTACATGCTGAACGTCACCTAAACAAGAAATAACTGAAGAAACTTGGGGCAAAGACGGATGATGATTATTTAATATATTTAATTGACCATTTCAGACTAAAATAATATAGGTGGGGATGGGAGCGCAAGAATAATACATATGTATTACATATTTTGGCAAAATGTAAATAATGAAACTGAAAAGGGAGATAAAACAAAAAAAAGAAAGGGAAATAAGCTTACTGACTGCGGTATGGAGCACAGGGGACTGTCAACGATACCACCCAAACTAATTTCAAAATATCAGGGGGCTGGCCCGATGGCCTAGTGGTTAAAAGATCATGTGTTCCGCTTCAGCAGCCTGGGGTCCACGGGTTCGCATCCTGGTCACAGACCTACGCACTGCTCATCAAGCCATGCTGTGGCAGAATCCCACATACAAAATAGAGAAAGATTGGCACAGATGTTAGCTGAGCAACAATCTTCCTAACCGAAATAATCCCCAAACAAACAAAAACAATCAGGCAGTAACATACTAAACAAGAACACAGAAATCTAAGGGATTTAAAAATGTGTAAGTACAAAGTTACCATGAGAACAAAACACAACCAATGTAAATGCCAGAGAGAGAGAAGAACTAAAATTGTGGAGAAAACTCATCGCAGAAGGAAAGGAAATAGCAAATATGTGTGAATAAGTCCAGCAACCGTAACATGAAATAATCTAATTGCAGTAAGGGCCATATAAAGAAATGTGAATGAGTTTAACTGACCTGATAAAAGAAAATTATTTCCAATTTGTTTCAGAAAGTAAGATTTAACTATGCTGCATGCACAAGACACATCTGAAAACAAAGTGGTTCAGAAAGCCCAAAATATGAAGACAGACAGAGCTCTGCCAGGCGCTTGAAAATGGCGAGAAAGCAGAGGTTGTGAGCGTCAGTGACAAACGTTACAAGGAAGGACATGACTTAGTGCTAGAAATAGAATTCACAATAAAGCTCCAACAGTTATGAACACCTGTGCCAAAAATAACAGTAAACACCTCCATAAGGGAGAAAATATAGAAGTGGACAAAGATAAGTAAGAAGTAGAAGACATTAGCAACATACTCAATAAGACAGAGCCTGCTGAACCATTCAAAAGTCACTCCTTGGCACAGATGGACCTTCCACCAGAAGTGACCGTTTATTATGTCACAAGGAATATATCAATACATTCCACAAAGCAGACAATTGGAAATAATGTTTTCTGGTCACAATGTAGTAAACCTAGAAACTAATAACTAAACTAAAAATCAAAAATTTAGTTAAGCCTGGAAATTTAAAAAAACAAACCTTCAATTAAACGACTCTTAGATGAAAGAGGAAATGCAAATTGAAATTACAGAATTTCTAAAAAAAATTTTAATGGTTATGGAATTCATTGAAGCGGTAATGAGAGGAAACCGTGTAAGTGCCTGTGTCCATAGAAACACAAATAAACAAAAAGGGTAGAAAAAGAATAAAAAGTAAAGCAAAATAAAGCACTAAAAAGCAAACAGAAAATAAAAGCGGAAATTAATATAGTAGAAAATAGAAAAATAGTAGACCTAATTAATAATCAAAACCTGGGTTTTTAAAAAAAAAATCAAAGTAGATGAACAACTGGCTACCTTGATTAGGAAAGGGGAGAATAAAGAACAAATGTATATATTTTTTAAAAATTACGTCTGTAATAACCAATCGCCTTTAAAATAAAAGTTAAGAACTACCATAGGAGATTATTTGCAAACTCTATGCAAATAAACTTGAAAATCTAGATGAAAGGATAATTTCCTGTGAAAAGAAAGTTCTCCAAAATCAACCCTATTAGAAGTAGAAAGTTTAAACAGGA